AAGAAACAAGAAACCAAAAACAAACAAAAAATAAAAACAAGAAATAAAGAAACTAGAAACAAAGAAGAAATAAAGAAACAAGAAACAAAGAAGAAATAATGAAACAAGAAACAAGAAACAAAAAACAAACAAAAAAGAAAAACAAGAAAAAAAATAAATAAAATAAAAACAAGAAATAAAGAAACAAGAAACAAAGAAGAACGAAAGAAACAAGAAACAAGAAACAAACAAGAAATTAAGAAACAACAAACGAACATTAACAAAAGCCTATTAATTCTTGGGCTTCACCTGACGACGGAGAGAGCGAGGAAAAGAATACCAGAGGCCAGGGCTGTAGAAGAAGTGAAGAAGTGGCGGACTCTACACATGGCAGCGTCATCGAAGTCCCAGTTGTGGAACATGTCGTATATGTCAGCTGTAGGGGTGGACAGTGGGCAGATATTTATTGGGTCGTTTTAATTCACATGCTACGTATACCATGTTAGTAAGTAAGTAATTGTATTCAGTGTTTAAGGCTATTGGCTCACATCACATCGCACAAAACATTCATTTGATAAATAATGTTTCCATGATGAATAGGTAAAGGTTGTGCACATATCTCTTATCATGAGTCAAAAATTGCTTATTTCTGTCACTGGGCTGAGTCAGGCTGGGAGGAATTAACAATTTCCTTTGATGGACAAAGTGTGAACAATAGAAAATAAAGTGAAATTGATCTTCAATTTCATGAGAGTTACGTATACCATGGACAGCTAGAAAAACAAATAAAGAAGTCTCGGTTGAAGCAAATTGTATAAGACAGCTTATGACAAATATAAGAAAGCGACAGGCAAATTTCTTCGGACACACAATGCTGAAAGAAGCATTGGAGAATATTGTAACAACAGGCAAGGTTGATGGAAAGAGAGGCAGAGGCAGACAGAGGGAAAAGATACCGGACAAAATGACAGCATGGCTAGGAGCAGCAAGAACAACAGACACCATTGCTGCAACGCAAGACAGAGTGAAGTGGAGGTCCTTGATCGCCCTCGCCAGTCGGCAGGGCACCGGATGATGATGAAGCACTAGGGGGGGTTTCCCAAAAATTGCTTTTTTGAGAAAGTCGAAGATACAGTTTTTGGACCCTTGTTCAGTTTCTCTAAAAAGACAAGGAGAGTTTTCTCTTTTACCAAGCAAATATACACACAAATGAAACCAAATCTCTCTTATAGGTAGGCCAATGCCCACTTTTGGTGTAGGTCAAGATTTCTGGAAACTCCCCGAAATCTGGGTTAGCCCTCTTGTCCTTAAAAGCGACCTTTTGTGAGGCATTATGTTGAAATCAGGCTCTCGTCAAAATAATGAAATCGAAGAAACAAGCATCTTTCCGACAGATTAGCAATTTTATCGAATGTTTGTTTGTTTTATTTTACGCATCACCTTTTATGCTGAAAAACGTTGATTAACGGTACAAAATATGCAATTTTCCAGTTTTCCAGGACTCCCAAGCTATTGAAATAACCAAACTTTGGCGGAATTTACTCGCTACTTTTATCACTGAAACCAGGTGACCCCTCCTCCTTTAAAAGAAAATACCTTGACTTCTATTCCAGATAAATGGGTCTTTTTTCCCCAAATCAAGACAAATTAAAAGATGATACTACGGATATCTCAAAACGTCGAAAAATTGGCGAGCGCCTGATTCCACCGCGTCGTGATACATTAATTGTGAGGTGCTCTCTTGCTCTACAGGTACGATGTTCGCCCCCTCATTCAATGTATTCCAGGTTCGAAACCTGATTGTCTGCGAGGCGAGGGAAACAGTTTCTCTTCAAAAAATTAATGTTCTCCGGCCTTTCACTACCTACTTTTTTATGTTCTGTTGCAAGAGTAAGAGTAAGAGTTAGAGTAGGTTTCAGCAGCCACCCGCAGGCAAAATTCAAAATTACGTCCTACCAAACTGAACTAGTTCAATGTGTCCCATGCGCGTGTATGACCTTGTGCAGCGTTGCGAGCGTCGAAAAATAAAAACAAAAAACAAAAACCTTACCAAAACAAACAAACATCAACGACAAGCAACAGCAAGAGCCACCAGGAAGTGGGCGCTATTAAAATAGAAGTGGTTATTAGGATATAGTGATTGTTACCTCACTTATGATTCACTCTCTGTACTGCTGCTTCTAACGGCCTCCTCTCTCTTTCTTTCTTTCTCTCTCTCTCTCTCTCTCTCTCTCTCTCTCTCTCTCTCTCTCTCTCTCTATCTCTCTCTCTCTCTCTCTCTCTCTCTTGGTTTGTCGCTATCTTTTTATGTATACTTCCGCCTATCAAAAGTGCATGCTTAAGTGGCCACGTGCACATGGACACAGCGCTAACCCACCCCCGAATCACAAAGTTCTATCTGACACTTTCGCTTGTTTTTAGTTACTAAGACTAAGACCATAAGATCAGAAACCAAATTATGTTCTATCTTCTCTATCAAAAATGTTCGATTATTCGGGGTTGTCATCGAGATCTTTTTAGAAGTTCATTCGAAAAAGCTTGACACGATGATGTGAAACTCAGAATCTTTGACGTCTAAAGTCTCAAAACATAGCATTGTAGGTCGTGCGCGGTGGTTGGATCTGTAGTATCCTCTCCAAAAAGGCGAAGCAAAGAATTTTTTACAAATGTTGTTTCTATTATCTATTTGTGGTGGCAGAATTTTGCTATTCTAAAAGCTTTTTAATGGCTGCATCGATCGTCATGCAGTTTTCGCCAAAAGATTTTTTAAAATATTCTCCAGATCATGACACCCTTCGTTTTTGCAGTTCTGGGACAGTTTTGCTGCAAAAAAGCTACATTTCTTTATTTTGCCCATCGCTTTTTTAGGCCGACGACTCTGTGTTTGTAATTTTAGAAAATCCGCCAGGTTTGTTTCTTTCAAGTCTTACTTCCGTTCGATAATCGATACTATCGCGCATTGTCGCGCAATACCGAGCCCTAATTTAAGTGTGCGACCCGTATAGATCTAGCCTCATGTTTTCTTTTTTTCCTTGGTGTTCAACTCAACGGTGATCCTTTCGTCTGATGCCCATCATCGCTTTTTCTGGACTCCTTTGTCAAATTATTTTTCTTGCTACTGGGAACAACGTCAACAGCTCTTAGATTAGAATTTTCTATTTTTTTGCATCTCTCAAAATGTACTACTCCATTCCAGTAGAGTGTAAATATCGTTGGCTAATGACGTTCACTTGATGTTAATGCACCGATCATTCCTTTCATTGAAAGGGGGCCCAGCTAGTTTCTTTTTAAACCCGACACCCAGAACACTCAC